GTTGAGCTTCCTAAAGCCTTGTAGCCGACAGACACGAAGACGGGCTCATCGCGGAGACAGGAAGTAAGCAAAAGGGCGCCTTCGGGGTGTCTGCCATGAACACAGTCCGTGGTCTTCTTACGGCCGACCAACTCCTGGCCGGCTCGCCAAAATGTTATGACAGAACCCGAGGCATACATTGAAGTCCAGTATGTGTGCACACACAGAGAACAGTCCGGGTTCGGTTTGGCTGGTACCGGGGGGGGGAGAAAACAGTTGACATTTCGTGCAGGGGCGTAACTAGAAATCACAGGGGCCCCGTAGAAAAATGTTGTATGGGGCCCCTGTGATTTCTAGTTACGCCCACCTGATAACCCAAACAGCCATCCTGAGGGTGACCCTGCAGAGCCCGCCATAGACTCTCTATGGTGGGTTCTGCAGGGTCCCAGTTGGGCTGGTCACACGCCTTACCTGTCCGCCTCCTCTTCCTCCACGGTCGCTGATGGGTCCCGCCTCCTCCTCTGGTCCAGCCTTCTTCACCGCTGCTGCTGGCTCTCACTTACTCAGCGGCGGCCGTGGAGAGGAACACACCGCCACAGGGAACTGCCAGTGACAGCCAGCAGCGTGAGATTCCAAGGCCACCCAGCGACAAGCACGGCATCAGGGATGTCCATAGCGGCCGCCTGGGTCGCTATGGCGATTGTTACGCCATTGATTTTGTATAATTATGATGAGAACAGAAGCATACTCCCAAAATGGAACATTCCGCGGGGGTGGGGGTGGGGGGGCAAGGGAACTTTATACAAGAATATTGGTAACATAAGTTCCTGGAAATCTAAAGAAGAGACACAAAATGGCGGCCTTTAGGCTAAGCTTGCCACAACAGTCCCTCCTCTTGTCCATATACTGGACACATTATTATAGTCCAAGGTACTTTTCTTGACAGGATCGGGGTTAATGTCCTTATCCTGCGGTGGGAACCCGCACCTTGAGGGCGGTTAGCTTTCCGCTTACGTGAAATGGCTGCCTTTAGGCTAATCTTGTCACAACAACTCCCGCCTCCGGGAGGAAGTCCTCACGGCTGGGTCACACCATGCCCATAGGCCACTGCCCTGGACCTGTGAAGCACCCTGCGGCTAACCGCAATGCATTGCATCAAGGTGGGCACCAAATGCAGGATTTAGTGCCCCGAGCAACATTACAGACTGGCCCAACAAGGTCCGGCAGGGCAGCCATCAGGGGGGTACGGCAGATACTCATGTAAGGGGCCCGGGCAGCCTAGGGGGGCCCGCCTGGGTCCCTTACATGACTATCGGCCAACGATGAAGGGCGAGGAGGCGGAGGCCTGGCCCTAGCAGCGCAGGGCCCTAGCATTGCAGCTCCAGTGGCTTTGAGACAAGCTGGGGCCCCATCAGCGACGCTGCTCGTCTGATGTCGGACTAGCCGGAAGTGACGTCACTTCTGGCCGGTCCAGCGGCAGACAAGGCCATGTGTGAAGGTAAGAGGAGCTGGAAGGAAAGGAGGGATGCAGCCCTGACCAGCCCACCTGAGACCCCTTCAGAGCCCACCATAGACAGTCTCAGATGGGCTGTGCAGCGTCTATGGTGGGCTCTGCAGGGTCACTCTCAGGTGGGTCCTGCGTCCAGCGTGTCACTAAGCCCTGCGTCCAGCGCGTCACTAAGCCCTGCGTCCAGCGCGTCATTAAGCCCTGTGTCTAGCAGGGGGGGGCCCGGCCTAAAGCCGTGTAAGGGGCCCTAAAATTTCTGATGTCTGCCCTGAGGTCCGGGTATGGTCCACAAAGCAACAGCCCGAGGGGTACTGATCCGGAAACTGGGAAGTAGCCGCCGTGGCTAGACATGGCCAGAAGAACTTGAGAGAAGAATCGATGAGACAAAAGGTCACTAAACTACCGCACATCTCCATCAGTAGAGAGGAGACGTCCATCACCTAAGGACACTAGCAACAAAATGAGGATTTCCTGAAGGGGAGGGGCTATATGAGGGTCCTCACAACTCTGGCCAGTGTCCAATCACCTGATATCTGCATATAGATGTCTCTGGATCAGTCTGCGTCCTGTGCTGTACCATCAAGAAAACAGCTTTACCCACGTGTGTCTCATCTGATGTTTAATATGATGGGAGTTCCATGAGAAACCTTTTCCACACACAAGAAATCACTTCCCCCATTCATTGTAGAACTACAGCTTCTCCCCCGTGTGCAAACAATGATGACTGGAAACATAGGCTTTCCGTGAAAAACCTCTCCCGCACTTGGGGCAGGAATATGGCTTCTCGCCTGTGTGTACTCTCATATGTGTATTAAGAGAGGTCCTTGCTGAAAAACATTTACCGCACTCACAGCAGCAATATGGTTTCTCGCCCGTGTGTATTCTCATATGTGTGTTAAATTGGGAGCTTGCTGCAAAACTTTTCCCGCACACAGAGCAGGAATATGGTTGCTCGCCCGTGTGTACTTTCATATGTGTGTTAAATTGGGAGTTTGCTGTAAAACATTTTCCGCACTCAGAGCAGCAATATGGTTTCTCACCTGTGTGTACTCTCATATGTGTGTTAAATTGGGAGCTTCCTGTAAAACTTTTCCCGCACTCAGAGCAGCAATATGGTTTCTCGCCCGTGTGTACTTTCATATGTGTGTTAAATTGGGAGCTTGACCTAAAACATTTCCCACACTCAGAGCAGTAATATGGTTTCTCGCCTGTGTGTAACCTCTTATGTGTGTTAAGAGAGGTGATTGATGTAAAACTTTTCCCACACTCAGGGCAGGAATATGGTTTCACGCCTGTGTGTGATCTCTGATGTGTGGTAAGAGTGCACTTACTTGAAAAAGCTTTCCCGCACTCAGAGCAGGAAAATGGCTTCTCCCCCGTGTGCATTCTCTCATGTTGGGTGAGTAGGCACTTTTTTGAAAAACCTCTCCCGCACTCGGAGCAGGAATATGGATTCAGGCCTGTGTGTAATCTCATATGTGTGTTAAAATGGAAAATTTCTGTAAAACATTTCCTGCACTCAGCACAGGAATATGGTTTCTCACCCGTGTGTAATCTCTTATGTATGTTAAGATAGGTGATTGATGTAAAACTTTTCCCGCACTCAGCGCAGGAATATGGTTGTTCGCCTGTGTGTAATCTCTTATGTGTGTTAAGAGAGGTGATTGATATAAAACATTTCCCACACTCAGAGCAGGAATATGGTCTCTCTCCTGTGTGTAACCTCTTATGTGTGTTAAGAGAGGTGATTGATGTAAAACATTTACCACAATCAGGGCAGGAATAAGGTTTCTCGCCTGTGTGTGATCTCTGATGCGTGGTAAGAGCGCACTTACTTGTAAAACCTTTCCCGCACTCTATGCAGGAATATGGCTTCTCCCCTGTGTGCATTCTCTCATGTTGGGTAAGTAGGCACTTTTTTGAAAAACCTTTCCCGCACTCAGGGCAGGAATACGGCTTCTCCCCCGTGTGTGATCTCTGATGTTGGATAAGATCACACTTTTGTGCAAAACTTCTCCCACACTCAGGGCAGGAATACGGCTTCTCCCCCGTGTGTGATCTCTGATGTTGGATAAGATCACACTTTTGTGCAAAGCTTCTCCCACACTCAGGGCAGGAATATGGTTTCTCCCGTGTGTGAGATCTGTAATGTGTGACAAGGTCTGATTTACGAAGAAAACATTTCCCACACTCATAACAGTAAAGAAACTTGTCACCCATGTGAGAACTCAGATGAACACAAAGAGTTGATTCAGAGCTAAAACCTTCCCCACACTCAGAACAGGAAAATGTGTTCTTCCCCTGAATTCCGGCACCATCCCCCACAGGACGAGGTTGCTCAGAGGGATTCCATGCTCTATCCACACTGTGAAGTCCACCATCCATAGCTGAGCTCATTGTCTCTTCTCCCGCACAATCTGCTGTGATGTCCTCATCTTCCATCTTACAACCTGGAGATAAAGTCAGAGGATCCTTTGAGGGTTCCTCCATGGCGTGTCCTGGAAACATAGAAACACATGATGGAGAGATATGAGAGGGTTAGATGACTTCACTCAACATTCCATCTGGATCAGGAGGTCTGAGGGAGCAGATGTTCTCTGTGGAGGTCCCAACCAGCTGGGACTCCTCCCCTCTTCAGTCAAAGGGCCTTTGGTCCTCCTCCCAGATAACTTCTACATTTACACAGCCCTGTCAGAAGAGGAGGAGCCAATGGGGACTGGGAGGAGCACGCTCTTCACCCAACCACAAGCCTAGGCACTGGGTCATGTGACGTCTAAGGTACAGAAGAATCAAAGTTCAGCCTCTGAGAGGGTTAGAGGACTTCACTCAACATTCCATCTGGATCAGGAGGTCTGAGGGAGCAGATGTTCTCTGTGGAGGTCCCAACCAGCTGGGACTCCTCCCCTCTTCAGTCAAAGGGCCTTTGGTCCTCCTCCCAGATAACTTCTACATTTACACAGCCCTGTCAGAAGAGGAGGAGCCAATGGGGACTGGGAGGAGCACGCTCTTCACCCAACCACAAGCCTAGGCACTGGGTCATGTGACGTCTAAGGTACAGAAGAATCAAAGTTCAGCCTCGTAGACCCTTCACCACAGAACAAGTGACCCCAGGCCTAGACTTCTGGTGATGAGCAGCACTGGAGGGAGCTTGGAGAAGTATGTTCTCCTGGAAAGAGAAGTGTTTCAGTCTTTGTTACTTTTCATCCCAACAAGACTGATAATAGAGTTTTATGTTTAGCTAGAAGTCTGCTGGAAGAAGAGGAATTGAGTGTCCTCGTCATTCCATCCTCCTCCGTATGTTGCTGATCATCCCTCACATACGTCTCTTCTACGTCACCCTCAACTTTCACCTTCATCAGATCTTCACCCTAAACCAACAGAATGGCAGAAAGTCTCATCTTGTAGAGTCCACACATCATCTCCACATGTCAGAGTCTTCAATCACTCAACTCCACCTACCTGATCATGGTGGGGGATGGTGAGATCTTCCTGTGTGGAATCCCGGGAATACAGAGGACGGGGACATCTCTCTGGTGGGTTCC